TGAATCAAAGGATTAGTTCATTACCAGGCCTCTGGAGAACTTCAAGACATGTTGAGGAGGTAATTTAGCCATGTTAATCAGTGTGTTGGATCAAGGACACATCTAAAACGTGCAGGACACCGGCCCTCGAGGCCTGGACACCACTGCTTTAAGTCCTGTAAGTTGTGAGGTGGAGCCTCCATAGACCTAGACTTGTTTGTCTAGTACATCACACAGGTGCTCGATTAGGGTCTGGGGAATTTGGAGGCCAAGTCAACACCTCAAAGCCGCCGTAGTCTCCTCAAACCATTCCTGAACAAGTGGGCTCTTCAGGTGTGTGCAGCTGAGCACCCTGCATACCATGTTGTTATGCCGTACGTTAGGATGCTCTCTATGGTGGCTCTGTAAAATGTCACCAGCAGCCTCTCCTCCAGGTTGTTCCTGTAAAATGATTCATCAGAGCAGATGAAGAAAATCTCACAAGAGCTTCAGTTTGGAGATACTCTGACTCAGTCGTTAGGCCATCACAGTTTCCCCTCAAACTCGCCTAAATCCTCATGATTGCCCATTTTCCCTGCTTCTAGCAGCAACTTTCAGGACAAAATATTCTAATATATCCAGGTGCCACAATGGAGACATAACCAGTGTTATTAACGTCACTAAAAAAGGCCATAATGTTAAAGCCTGATCGGTGTATATGCTCTTAAGTATCGTACGAGAGATCCACAGCGCACTATTCCATCTACAACAGTAACTTAAAAATCCCAGTTTCCTTGTCTGCATGCATGCACACAGCCAATAGAAGCTCCCGTTCAGGTCTTAATTTTAAACATGAGGATACTGCAGTGTCATCATGTGCTCTGTTAGCACACAAGCAAGGATACACATCTACAGACAGGAAAATACACTTTGCAAATTGAAAAAGAATATTAGCAAGCAAACACGGATATAAACAATGCATGTTTGATACAGGCTTTGAAATGTATTTTATGAGAAAGGTAATATGCTGATTTATTCTTTTGCCTTTTGTTTGTTTTGTTTTCGGCAAAGAAAATTGCTAAGGGGGACTCAAATTTACAGTAGGTTTCGATATTTTTTGTCACTTCTATTTTTTATGGCTCCCTAAATTGCAGTTTAACTGGACAGAGATTGCCCATGCATCCCTCTGTCCTTACACTGTTAATGGAGCCTCTGCCTCGAGCTCTATTAGCTTCTCCTCCAGGAGCTAAGAAACTTTTTTGGATGACTTCCTGCCTGATCAAAGCATCAGACCACCCAAGCCATAACGTGACCTCATGCCCTCCGTTCCCCCCCACCCCGCGGACACAAATACAAGGTTTGGCAGTGGTGAGGGTGACCTTTCCAGACTCCCTCAGATGAAGTAAGGCAGCCGAATTATTTCCTGCCTGTCATGCCCTTATCTGTGTCTGGCTGTTGTTTGTTTTAAATTACACGGAAGAACGACTTTCCAGCGGACCAGGGCGAAGGAGAGGATCGAGGCAGAATAATGAAAATGAAGAAGCGAGAACTGCGCCGCAGACATTACAGCAGCTCTGCCATGCTGTGTTGCGCCGCTGTATCGTATCTCTAATGTAAAATATTATGAAAGGATTAGCTGTGACAAAGTGGTGCAGTCATGACTGTAAATATAATCCCTTCATTATTTTCTCGCGAGCTATATTCAACCCCAAGTAGCACAGATCTCGCTTATAGTTTCTATGTCGCCAGTTTAAAGTTAATTATTGTTTCACACATGCAGCGCCATTGTTATGACCACGCCAAGCAGTGCAAGCTCTGTTTGTTGATAGCTGAGCTTACCTTTCCCCCAACGCAGCCAGAGTTTAATTGAGGAGAGCCAAGACAGACAGTGTATCAGAGATTAAATAGCTTGTTTTGATGTGAATACAGAAACAGAGAAATACTGGTTTGGTTTTTGTGGGTTTTTTACACAAAGTACTGCCCGTAGCTTCTGTGTTGCTCCTGCAATGAAGGAAAGACAAAGAGAGACAGAATGGGGGGAAGATAATTCATAAGGCATTTTATCTCCGTCATTACTGTAAACTGTTCAACTAAATGCTTTCTTGGCCTGTTGGATCTTTGCAAAAAAATGTTTTTGCACCTAGCTGATCATGAGAGCTGCTAGATACAATAAACACGCAGAGATTGTGGTCACAGACTTGACAATATGAGCTGAGCCTGAAAGCTTGGTCAAACGTTATAGGCTCATGGTACTTGGACTACAAATGGACACCAAAGCAACTTCAGTTACCAAGAATCCTTGGAAATACTATATATGCATGTGCAGACTGTTGTTTATAAAAATGAGCCAAGTTGTGATATACTAGTTTCTCTCTTGGGGACACCAGTAACCATGCTGAAGAACAGTTCAATTCAAGGTGCTTTATGTTGTAAGGTAAAGACGCTACAATAATACAGAGAAACCCCCCAAAAAGTGCTTGGTGACAGTGGGAAAGAAAAACTCCCTTTTAACAGGAAGCAACCTCTGGCAGAACCAGGCTCAGGGAGGGGCGGGGCCATCTATCCCGACTGTTTGAGGGTGAGGGGAGGGAGACAGGACAGACAGTTATATGCATGGATATATATTGTATTTACATAATAACATAGCCCATAATTAAATTTAACTGTAAATTCTAGTCTTTACAATCTTCAACAGCACTGAGGTTTTTAGAGGGAGGAGCGGGGTGGTGGGGTTATTATTAAACTAATCCCATAATAACAGGATTGTAATGCTGTCCAGCTTGATCGTGCACACTCTAGAGGAGCAGAGCGTGGTGACATTATGTTATTCTTACGCAGGGATTGTGAGGAAAACATTTGTTTCACATTAGAAGCTGCAAATAAATAAATAAAGCACCCAGAGGACTCGCAACACAGCGCGCGAGTCCTCTGTAGCTTACAGAAAGCCAATGTGGGATGAAAACATACACATTTCTAACCGGATCTCTTGGCGAGCAGATTCACAGTTAGTCTTTGGGCTCAGCACTTGGCCAAGATAAGTACACTTGGGTTTTCACACGACTGACTATTAAAAACTATTAATCTGTGAAACAGCCAGTTTTGTATGAACCTTTCATGGTGGAAAGAACCAAATAGATGCTTAGCAAAAGCAAAGTATTTCATAGCAGGGCTGAGAGCAGGGATTAATCCAGTGTGGAGTAACATCTTGAATGGTCAAAGGGTTGCCCAAGCAGTAACACGCTGATACTTGTAAGCCACCCACTGTACTATCCACATGCAGTGCACTACATAATATGTTTTAGAGATACATGGGGATGCTTTTGATCACCCGTGGTGTGCAGCCCCTGAGGAGATCACAGCACAGGCACAGTTCTCAGATCCTCCCTGTTGGTCGGCCGGTTGGATGGAGGCTGTTGTTGTTGTTATTGTGGACGGACAACATGCTAGCATGCGCCATAGCATTGCAGTATGTGGCTTAACTGAGTCCTTGCTGTGATAAGACCCACTTTTGAAAGGAGCATTAGAAACTCTTATGCATTCTTAATGAAAATGAGTATTAAATAAGAGTTGCCATCAATAATTCATGCAAAGTTGCATCAGGCCTGGACTGTGGCTCCTCAACTGAGAATGATTTAACTGAAGGTGTGCTGCAACCCATCCTGGGTGTGCGATGCATTTCTCAAAACTAGCACAGAACTTTGCTTCCTGTCTCTCTGGGAGCATGCAGGCCTGTAGTTTATTCACCATATCTCTAATTGTCACTAAGGGAGCCCCTGACTTTAATTGCATGTAGCTTCACACTAGCCGCAATGGACGTTTCCATGAGTAAATCCAACATTAGGGAATTAATTAGGCAGAAAACAATGGGTCATCAGAGTGCTAACGACAGAATAACAAGGCACAGAGTTTTATTTGGTGCTCACCAGACACAGCACACATTCGGAAAGATGTAGAATGCTAATTAACTTTAGAGCTTAGCTATGACCCATTTTCATTTGTGCCAACACTTTATGTCCAGGATATTGTTCGTAGCGGTGTTGCATTCTGACACATTTTCAAAAATGGCATGCTGACTGTTCAGTGGAGCATACTTTTTTTTGTTAATGTACCCTCTCATGTATGATGACTTATTTTGCTGTTTTTCTCAGCATGCTTTAGACAAAGTTTGTATGTTCAGATTATTAGAGAAGCATTTAATTATTTATTTTCACGCACTGCTATTTTACGGTTAGCGAAACAAACAAGCTCATTAAGACCATATCCAGAATTGTTACCAAACAATACAAACAGTTCACTGGATATGTAAGCGCCCAGAAGACACGTGTGAGTCGTCAGAGGTGTCATCAGAAGTGTCATAATGAATCTCCTTTACCTCCGTTTTGTTCTGCAGCAACTTCCTGAGGGAAGTCGCTGTCTCTTTAGCCGCTCGATGCTCGAGTCTGTACTCCAGATAGTGGCTTACCCTCTCTACTTGATGCTGGGTTGGTAATGTGTCACAGCTTCCTGGCTGAAAACAGATTCTCATTTGGTGCAAGGTTGCTGAGAGCAGTGAAACTGAACCAAAATAGTGACGTGGCAGGCAGTGAAATCAAATCATTTAGCAAAAAGATGCTAAAAGAGTCTATGGGGGGCAGCATGGCATGGCAGCACTTTGTCAACCAAATGAATGCTTTCTTTTATATTAGTTACACACATAATTTGGAAAATAAATTTTTTTCTATCCTCTACCAACATACTTGTTAAAGTTGAGCTGGCTTTGCGGTTCGCTGTGTCTGACTCACCTGCTCCTCCTGCTTACTTAATCCAGGAAGCTAGAAATGGCTGGGAAACATGAGCGCAATTCCGTTTTCAATACTTCATTTATATTCCTTCTCCTTCCTGGCACGTCTGTTTGTTCTAGTACACATCCCTGTTCTCTGTCGCGCTATGGCATGACCACAGGAGAGGAGAGATCATTATTTGGCACTAACACGCTTGTTTGCGGCTCTTCTCTTTTTTGTCTGGCACTAAATGTGTCATAATGACCTCTCTTTTTTTTTTAGATTTGGTGACGGCTACACTGTGATTGTGAGGGTCGGTGGCTCTCCGCCCGCACTGAAGCCAGTCGAGGACTTCGTCCAGAAGACCTTTCCGGGCAGCGTTCTCAAAGAGAAGCATCACAACACGCTGCAGTATCAGTTCCCACACGCACAGGGAGCTTTGGCCAATATCTTCAGCCAGTTCACCAGGCATCAGCGGAGGCTGCGTGTGGAGGACTACTCGGTGTCCCAGACAACTTTGGATCAGGTGAGGTGGAAAAAAGGAAAAAAACGAAAACATATGCAGTTGGGCACTAACACAATTTTGTTGTTTCGGCTTGACTTTCAATCAAGTGAAACGATCACAATTCATTATTATAATTATGCATCATGGATTTCAATAGTGTTTCAATAGTTGGACAAACTCATAGGATTGCTTTTCATACTTGGATGAAAATCACTTGACTGTTTGAAGTCGAGAACTCTGAGATTAGATGACTGACTTGGCCGTTTATTTTCTAGTGAGAAACTCCTGAGTTACTTTTGCAGAATACTTTGGGTTATTATTCTTTCTGCCTCATCCGTCCTTGAGTGTAACCAGTGCTTTGCACCTTGTTGGAAACCCTCTGTAAGTCCATTCATGAAGGCGTCTCTTGATTGTAGACTTTGACAATGATATGCCTACGTCCACGAGAGTGTTCTTGACTTGATTAGCTGTTGTGGAGGAGTTTTTCTAAACTGTGGAGAAAAAAAAATCATACCCTATACTGACTCCCTTTTGGGGCCAGCCTCTAAGTATCACCTTGATGAACTGCACTTTTTACCTCTTCTGTGGTTGCAGCACTGGAGGTTTCCTCTTGTGTAGTAGGCAGTCGTGATCCTCTTTAATCCGTAATAAAGAAAAAAAGTAATATGAGAGATGTGAGATCTCTGCTTGGAAAGAAGTAAGGTAAGAGCGTAAACTTGGTTTACTGTTAAATGATGCATTTTTAAGTGTTTTGATACCTTCAAGCAGCACATGAAAATTGAAAGCAAAGATCAAGCATAAAAGTCGAAACAAAAGTAACATCCAGAGGCAGCTTCGAAAAGTGTCACAGCTCAAATCTGTGAAATGTGATTATGATGAAACTGACTGTTGTTGCTGTGTTGAGCTGGAAGCACTCTGCCCATCTTCTGTATATAAGAACAGCTTGAGCCTTCCACTAGGTGGTGCAGGCCGATGCAAAAGCGATGCACCAACTAAATTAAGTGTAATTCTACAAGCCTACTGTAATTCTGTTGCTGCTCCCTTTTAATGGCTCACTAGCTCATCAATCAATGCATTGACCACTTTAGGTGCTCCTGTTTAATGCAGGTCTGCCCAGTAGCGGATAAGATTTAAAGATCTATCATTGTCTACACATTGTTTTCTGCCATTTAGGCTGTCAGACAGACCAATGAGGAGTGCACTGAGTTTGGACGGCCAAGATTGTTCAGCCGCCAGCTACCAGTATTGATCCCAAATCTGGACTGATTATATAAAACTCGTGCAGCCAGTATCTTTTTTTTTTTTTTTTATTCCAGCCAGAGTGCACTAGCTCAGCTTACTGATTGGCGAGATAAACCGAGCGCTGCGTGTTGCGGACTGGATTCACCTTGTGTTTTCCAAACAGCCCCAGGGACCTAATGCAATCAGGCAGTGAGTGGCAAGTACGTGTGTGTCTGGTCTTCCAAACCCACCATTAGCTCAGCAGCAGATGACCATGTGGGAGGTGAGAGTAACCTCTGAGGGGTCCAGAAAGGTCATCTTTCCACTCCGCCACGGGTGAAAAGAGAAAAGCCTTAAAAAAGAGAAACAACAAAATTGACACAGATGCGTTGAATTTTCTGTTCGTTCAGTTGTGCAATGTCACGACTGGATTTAAATCGAATCATGTCTTATAAAGGACACTGTACAGATGATCAACTTGTAGATTACCCATAATTACCATAATTCAAAATAAATCAGTCTTCTGCAGAATCTTTAAGTAAAATCTGCCCTTTAGGAGTGTCAAATTTAATGAAAAGCTCAATGCTTCAATTTGGCCTGCAAGCTTTTTTTCTTTTTCCATAAAGCGTTTTTAACAGGACTTCACAGATCAGCGGTGAACCTTGCATAATATCTGTTTTAACATTTATGTCTTCTTGCCCCACATTCTGCTCTGGTCAATATTTACCAGATCAGAGGCAGTAAATAAATCATTCTTGGACCAGCAGGTCACAGTATTAACACACAGACGGGGGGAGGGCCGGAGAACCTGTGGAGACCCAGACAGTCACCTTTCAGCTGGTGATTTATAGAGAGGAGCCTTGACCTACAGTATAACACCCAACTTGCACTACAATTAATATTGATCCGCACGGCCTTGAGCTCAGGCGTTAATGCTGATGGCCAGGACAGTGCAGGGCAGGGATTTAAAAGGAAAATGTGACTTTCACAACGGTCTCGTAGAAGCGGCTTCTGCAGAAACGAGAAACGTTTGCGGCTTTTTCTGGCACCGTCGCCGAAGCACTAATGGAGCAGCCGACCTTTTCGATCCATATATCATCCGATATGTATGCATGTGTTGATTATAAAGTTTCTTTACTTAGGTCCCCTCTTTCAGTATTTTTTT